ACGGGTCATGTTCAGTGTTTTTGTTCTTAAATAAGCACTTACATATTATCTTTAAGTATCCATATATTTTAATTTATGAGATCGATTGCTTATTTCTCAAACAATGAGGCTTAACATGTACTAGTTTTTGAGTATTGTCAATGCCTTGTCTTGACAATACAATGACTAGGAATAATTTTAAGAACATGGCTTTGATGCATAGTGATCTAATAATTGTAATAACTTTACAACTCTCTTGCAAAGCCTGTATGTTCCATGAACTTCATCCAATTAATATTTAATAACTCCTTATTATTGCACTAACATGAAAGAAAACATCTATCATATATAGTTATGCGATTAAGTATTCATTAAATGACAATTTATATTCCTTGATCAATTTAGTTGGCTCAAGGGCATATATCAACAGAAGAAATGCATAAAGAGGTTGTTAATGCCAGGCTTGGAATTGGATTCTATTTTAGAATTCATCTTTAGATTAATTTGAGTTCTACTACTTTTTCCTATTTGATGTGCTGTGGGGAAAGATGTGGCAAGATTACTATGAGATGGTAGTGTATATAGCTGCCAAATGCTACTCTTTCTACAAAATGAAATTGGTTCTACATATTTTATAGGACACCTTTTGAATATGAGAAAGCTATGGAGAAAAATCTTCTTTGCATGGCTTGTCAAGTTAAGAAACTTTGCGCAGAGCAGATGAATGTAGAGAGTAAAGCACATGGACCTGGTATCTATTTCCACTCTACTATCAACTTCCTCTTCTCTCTCTGTAGCATGCGACAAGTTATAAATTATAATAACTGTTATTATATTTGCCTCTTCCTATTGAGGAGTTTACCATGTGTTGCTCTCCAAAGCTTGTTGGTTTGAAAGCCTCTTGAAATTTATATAGGTGGTTATGGAATGATTGGTGGAAACCCTGAAATGAGATATCTTGACAGTGCATTTGCTGAAGGGTACCATGGTGGCTGAGAGCCTAACGATAACTATGATCCTTCTTGGCGTTGATACCTAAAAATGGGTTGTATAGATGGTTTGATTTTGAGTTGGCTTCAACATCTTAGGCTCTTAGGTTCGTGGTGATGAGCAAACAATGTTTGTAGAGTGAAAGAAAAGAACTATTGAACTGGGTAACGTTTCACCTTCATATTTCCTTGTGGCCTTCTTCTGTAAGCAATTTTGGTTCTTTTGATTTTGAATGGAAATAAGCTATACTGTTATTTTGCTGTTTGTGCTTGAATATTGTACAGACAAGCTGACTGCCAAAAGAGTTAAAAGATAGACGGGCAGATACCTTGGATTTACCATGCTGATAAAGTCAATTGCTCGCAGTAAGTGTTATGAAAATTGCCCAAGAAACAACAAAGATAAAAGCCAGAGAAATCAAGTAAACAGAAAAATAAAAGAATTTATGTGGTTCGGCCTCTTGCCTACATCCACGGAGTGAAACTATTCTTATATTATTGAGAAATTAAAGTACAATAAATTGACTTCTATGGCTCTCCAAGCCAATCCAAGATCCCTTGCACATTCTTTTTCAATAACCTCCCAAGAACACTCACCCAAACCACTCTAGCTCCACCTAGAACAAAAGACAGAGTTACAAAGTGTCCCTTCTCTAGAGCTCTCAAAGCACTACTTGCAATTTTAAAGCTTAGAGATCCACTTTTATAATAAAAAAGTCTAAAGTAGAATGTGATTAGGAATTTATGTAGAATAAGAAGTTTAAAACTATACAACTACTTAATATTGTACATAAACAAAAAAATCCTAATCAAATAAGATCTAGAATTTTAGTCAACTTAAAACTCAACAAATCTCCACCTTTGACTTGAATT